TTAGAGGTGTTCACTACCACCAAACACGGTTTATGCTTCACTGGAGAGTAAAATCCATGGTTTTCTACATGCTAAGCAAGCACTCTACCAACTAAGCTATAACCCCAGCCCCATTTACGTTTCTTAAACACAAGGCCAGAAATCAGCTGTGTCCTCTTAGTGACCCCAGGAGATTCAGTGTGGAATTTTTCACTTGTGACATCATATCTGCACTTAAGTTTTGGCTTTTGGGGCATTTGAGAGTTTGTGTTTTCAGACTGGGGCTGCTCGACTTTTAACCTCATGCATTTATAACCTGCTCGTCCATGTGCCAGGCACAGTCACATGCCTACCTTATCTCCAAGTGACTTCCAAGACAGCAAATGGGAAAGAGTTGAGAGACACCCAGACCCTTACATCTGGAGATATAAGATATAACACATCAGAGGCTCAAGTCACAGCAGCCCAGACTCCAGGGAACACACCCCATCAGTGTTGTCTCCCTGGCTGTTCCTGAATGGGACAGAGCCTTGGCACAGAACTGGGATCCACACCAGGAAACAGGTCATGGTTTGCCTTCACACTCTGGGAGTTACTTGTGCTGTGCTCTGTGCTTGGCGAAGGAGCAGATGTTTAATAACTTTGCAGCAGCAAGGAAGAGGTTGCATAACATGGCTGAGCTATTTTTGAACTTTGGAAAATGCTGACTGTTCTTTTCAAAGTATTTTCTATAAAGCCAGGAATATTAAAACATGAAGAAATTTCCCCCCTATCTATATCCCACCATTTGAAACCATAAGAGCAGAGTCAAGTCCACAATAAGATCAGAAACACTCTATGACCAGCAAACTGCCCCTTGCACACCATGGACAACAGTGCATCACTCCAATACCCCAACTGCAGGAACTCTAAGATTATAATCAATGAACTTGGGAGCCAGGAGTCACATGTCCAAGAGCCCCAAGGAGGCTGAATTGGCTGAAGCTGCTCTTGATGGTTCATGCTGAGAACCAGGTATGAATTCAGCTGATACTGGCTTTATCTTCCCTTCTACACAGTAGAGGTAAGGAAAGTTATCTGTTCTCGAGATGCTTTGCAAATTAAGGCTTTATTCAGCTGAAAATATAATAAAAAGCAATTGAAGTAAGACTCTAACTCAAGAGTCTTGGGTACCACTGAGCAAGCGTGCATACCCAGATCAGCCTTATCTGCTCACTGCCTTCGCATGCCCAGATCCTGCCTTTATCTGCCAACTAAATGCCCACCAACAGGGGATGGTTAGATAAACAGTAAAGCATGGGTGTGGCAGAATACAGAAGCAGCCACTGAGATGATCACACTGGAATTACAATATCTTCACAGTGGCCTTGAAAATGCAAGGTTAAAGCCAAGCAGATTGGATGCATTCGATGTCATGGGGACGCATCAAAAAGAACTGTGGGCTGGGTGTGTGGTTGCATCTTTAGTGAATACATAAGCACACATACACATTGCATGTACACTGCATTCACTGTAGGGGTTTTCCTGCCCTTGCAAGATTGCAAATGGAAGCAACCAAGACTTCTGCACTGCCACTAATGTACTGTTTGTTTAAAATGTTCACGCAAACATGACATACCATCCTCATTCTCTGTGTTGAGTATATTACATTCTCTACTGCTAGCTGTCTTTTTCAGTATTTAAAAGTGAAAGAATTCTGGAGCCAGCAAGATGGCTCAGCGGGGAAGGGGACTTGCTGCCAAGCCTGAGGGCCTGAGGGCCTGAGTTCAATTCCTGGAACCCATGCTAAGTGAGAGAAAACCAACTCCCAGAAAGCTGTCTCCTGACCTGCACATGCACGCCCAATGCCACACACACACACACACACACACACACACACACACACACACACACACAAAATAGATAGATGTAAAAAGTGAATCCTTCTGCACAGGGTTTGTTTTGGAGCAAATTCCTCTTATTTTCATTAGACTGCAATGGTCTTTGGGGACAGAAGTCAAAGCTTAACTTCACTGTGTATTCCAGGAGTCCTCACAAGATTTCCTATGTGTGAGGAACAACAACGGGGAGCCAGGAGAATACAGTGTCCTTGGTATTCCCTGGTTACTTTCTTTGGGGTGTCTCCAACTCCTAGACAAGGGCAATCCTGCAGGGCTCCACTCTTTCCTTGCTGGAGCATGTGTGTGTGAGGAGCACTGGCAGGAAGAGGGGTGTGGCAGGGAGAGAATGACGGAACCTCTGGGAGCCACTACCAGCCTCACAGTCTGCGTGTGCACCACCACCCTCTGTGGATGGCAAGACATCCCATTCTCAAGGGACAGTGGGCACCACACTCATTGGCTTTGCATCTTGCTTCTCGGGTGAGAATGCCATTTCCAAAGCTGATGCATTCTAAAGGGAAGCCTATGGAACTAGCCGAACCACACTTCACAGCCTCGGGGTTCGGTTTTTTCTTTCCTTAAAGAATGGAATCTAGGGTGGTCCCTGGAAAGAAATCTGAATGTCTTGGCAATTATCCCTCTCAAATTCCTTTTTCTATATATAAAGCATTTCAATTGCCTTACAATTGAGTTATGTTTCCCACAAAATAATAGATATCTAAGTCTGCCAGCGGCAAAGCACATCTTATTAAAGTGAGTGTGAATTCATTAGCCTAGCCCTTGACTTAGGCTGGCAGCAAGCCTGACTTCCTAAGAAGCTCCCATGTCCACACTGCGTTATCTGAGTTCTTTCCTGATATTTGGATGATTAGTTAGGATGCTGAATGTGACTACCTAGAAGTAGGATGGGTGGGGGCACTGTCAACGGACCTTGATTTCTGATTTAACATCTGTTTTCCTCAGGGGTGTGTTAGTTGTGAAAAAGAACATCCTGGGCTAGGAAGGTGGCTCCGTGGGTTAAAGCGCTTGTCTCACAATTTTGAGCACTTACGTTCGGTTTCCCAGGATGCACATAAAAGCAGGACGCGATGTGAGGATCTCCTGTTTCACTGACAGAGAGATGGAGTCAGGACTGTGCACAAAAGCTTTTGCGCCGTCTAACCTGGCAGCTCAGTCTCAAATAAGGTGGAAGGTAATGACTGACAGCTGACATTGTGCTCTTCCTCCCCAAACTCAGGCCACAGCATATGCATACTCATAAACACACACACACACACACACACACACACACACACACACACACACCCCACCACCACCACCACCACCACCACCACCACCACACACCCCTGGTCCTGTTTCAGAGGTAAACTCTGAAAGGTAGCAGATTCAAACTCACAATCATCCAGAGATGTTTTAGGATAGCATTATTGTACAGACAACCAACACTGCCTGCTGACTACAGTCTTGAATGGGGCCATATTTCATTGATAACTCTGATGGTTATTGGATGATCAGCAGCATCACTTCTCACATATCAGACCCCCTATTTCCATACTCAGGACTCCTCCTAGGACCATGGTTCTCAAAGAATGCCCCCCCCAGCGGCAATCTCTGCACCCTCCTGAGTTGGAATGCCAATTCTGTGAGCTCATTCCAGACCTGCTAATGCAACAGAAGTTCTGAGTGCAGACCCAGAGCCTCACCAAGTCCTTCCAGCTGTCTCAATACATGCTGTCATTTGAGAATGACCCAACTAGAAAGCATGGACCACTGTTACCACTTTATGACAAGCACTTGAGACCCAGAAAGGTAAAGTGATTGCCCATGTCCTGCAGGATACAAAGGAGACAGGATTTGAGCATGAATGTCATCACTCCTCAGTTCAGCCTTTAATCACGGTGCCACACTGCTCATTATGTGAGGAATGAAGCATGGATTACATCATCAAACATCAGGCAAAAACATGCAGAATGGGTATCTGAACAATAATTCTAAATCTTAGCAGCTGAGCTATAATGATAAGCCACAAAGAATAATGACACTTCCCAGAAACATAAAATTTAACTTAAATACCCATCATGATGGGTCAGTTAAATAAATTATACTACAGTAATATAACGGAATGGAATGTGGCTTTAAGAGTGATGATTGCCAAGATCACCAATGACCTCCAAAGATGCTTGCCATATAAGAAGAAAAGAAATTCAGACTCAGCTGGGGACCAGGATGCATCAATTTTCCCAAATCAGAACAAGCTGCTGAGGATGTGGGACATCAGATGATTCCACAAATTGTTGTGTGAATATAAATTGATGTCATTGTTTTTTAGGACAGTTTGGCAATGGATACTTGAAGATGCCTACATGTTTGACCCCTCAAGTCCTACTTCTTAGAACCAAGCCTAGACAATCAGTTGCATACAGGCAAAAAGAGACAGCTGAGTTTCTAATGGGAAAAAAACATGGAAACAAAACCTGAATTTTCATGAATGTAAAGAGTGAATAAATAAACAAATCATGGTGCATGAATCTGGAAGAATGAAGCATGGATGTTACAAAAAGTTTACCTGACATATAAATCATTAATAGATGGATAATAGACAGATAGACAGATAGATGATAAGTAGATGGGAGATAGACAGATAGATGAACAATAGATAATAGGCAGACAGACAGACAGACAGACAGAAGATTGATGTGAGAAAGGGAGAAAGATAAACAGAAGGGAATTCTCAAGTGGACGTTTTCAAGGTATGTTTTGAGTAAAGAAAATGAAACCAAGTTGCAAAAAGCTCCTAAAATAAATTGTTAGTCAGCACTACAGCATTACTTGTGAGCACAACACTCGGGAGCTGACAGGCAGGTTGTGAGATGGAGGCCAACCTGGGCTACATAGCAAATTCCAATAGTGATGGCTATTTAATGAAATTCTGTCTAAAAGATAGCCTTACATTACTTATTATCTCTAAAGTGAGACAGGAAGAGAGGAAAAGACAAATGAGCGTAAATCAAAGCAAACTCCCTCCAAGGAAATACATTCTGTATGCCATGTCTGTACTTTTACCAGTGTCTATGATGTGAACATTCATAGCAACAAAATTCTGACCCATCTTTGTTAGACAATGAAAGAGCCTTCTCTTACTGGTGCAGAGTGTGATGAGGGGTCTCCGGCTTCTCTGCCTGCCCGTAGCAGCTGGTCTTGGCCTCAGGGATGTAGGAGAATTTCTCCAACATGGAAGATGCGGCAGTGGTTAGGATCCCAAGACCATCCCTCACTCTCGCCTCCAGGCTGTAGTCCCAGTCATCGTAGGAGACAGAAATAAGTCCCGATGGGAACTCTTTGGGGATGAGTTCTGTGTTCCCAGAGACCAAACTGGGGACAATCCAGAAGAAGTCATACCCGGTGAGGCCGAGGGAGCGAGCCTCACTCAGGATGAGGACAGCCTCGTCTTTGGAACAATAGAGTAAAATGACAGAAGAATGAATCTTCTTTAACTGGACCTGCGTCTTGGCATCCTCGAAGGAGGTGTCCAGTGTGATCACGTTCTGCATGTCCCAACCCACGAAGCTGTTGTCCACTGTTGTCTTGATGAAGCTGATGAAGTCCCTGTAGCCAGGGAAGATGGTGGTCACCAGGGAGAAGACATGCCAGTCATAATCCTGCATGATCTTCAGCATAACCGTGGCTTGCTGCTGGATGGATGCTCCAAACTGGAAGAACGTGGACGTCGGATCCTGCCAACAGATAAGAAGACAGAAACGGTGAGGCCAGAGGCAGTTGTTAGGCAGTGATCTGTCTTTGTAGACCTAGAGATACCCTTTCTAGAAAACAGAGGAAAACATCAACTCATTTGAAACACTTCATGAAGAGCTGGGGACATGACTCAGCTGGTGCTTGTCATGCAAGTCACGAGTACCTGTGACTTGAAAAGAGAGAGCAGCGGATTCCTAGAGCTCGCTGGCCAATGAGACAAGCTGATATGGCAAGTTACGAGCCAGTAAAACACTGTTTAAAAACAAGGTAGACATCTCCTGAGGAACAATACTTAAGGCTGTCCTCTAGTTTCCACATGCATACACACATACATATGTGTGCATTGGCACACACATGTACACATGAACACACACGTGCACACATAATACACACAAATAATAAAAATAGACACTGCTGACCTGTGCCAGGCTCTGGAACGTGCACAGAAGATGCACACTTGAAAGGATTCATGCCCAGAAGCTCAGTGCCAGCACAAGGAAGACTATTTGCTGTTTCCTTCATCATCATCCACTCTCATTTTCCTCTGGACTCCCCTTCCCCATCCATTTCTGCCCACACAGTTCCAATGACACCAACTTGATCTAGTCCTCAGGGTCGTGTCATGAAAATGATATCAACAGAGACAAAGGAGCCACAGAAGTACAGAAAGTTTCACAAGGGCACAATTGGAGCTCTTGGACTGTGTCGTGGTGTGGGACAATTGTCTATATTTTGTCAATTATGTTTTAAATAAACACTGATTGGCCAGTAGCCAGGAAGGAAGTATAGGCAGGACAACTAGACAGAAAGTAGAGGTGGGTCAAGGAGAATAGGAGAATTCTGGGAAGGAGGAAGCCCATTCCTCCATAGTCCTGCTAGACACCAAAGAAGCAGGATATGACCTGTCCCGCTGAAAAAGGTACTGAGCCATGTGGCTAACATATACTAGAATAATGAGCTAATATAAGTTATAAGAGCTAATACGAAGCCTGAGCCAATGGACCAATCAGCTTATCATTAATATAGATTCTCTGTGTGATTTTCTTTGGGGCCAAATGACTGTGGGACCTGGTGGGAGGACAGAAACCCCAACAAGCAGGCCTTCACGTTACAGTGTCATACCTGAAGCCATTTACCCCCAGAACACCAGCTAAATGAGTCACTCAGTTGCCACGTTCACATGAGCTAGTGAAGCTTCTACTTAAGATTCTCATGTATTATAATATAGACAAACGTCTATGTGATCATCTACCTTTTTGATCGGCAAACATTTGCAGACCACTTTGCATTGTGCTTTAGACCTTGGTAAATCATGACTAGCAGGACAGGCATGGCTGGATCTCTGCTGTCATAGATGTAAGGGAAACCCTGGAAAAAGTAGTTACTGTGAACTGGAGACTGAGAGAGACCTGTGAAAATGTAGAATTAAGGCAAGAAAGATGGAAAACAGGTAAGCGTGGCATGGGGTATATCTTTTAGTATAATAGATAAAGGCACTCTGTTATATGAAGTAAAAAGGATGTAATTGTATCAAAAAGCTTGCGAGACTATATTCAAAGGCTTAGAAGCTCTTCTAATAAAGCCCTGGCAACTTGTATTGGGCTAAGGAGCCACTATGATCCCTACAACTGCACAAATATATGACAAGAGAATAAAGGTCCACTTGGCCAAGCAGGTGATTATAAGGCTGCCAGATTCATAACCCCCCATACGACTCCAGTCATTAATTTCCACAGTGGTCTGAGAATGTTGGTGTTACTGGCAGGGACACCAACAATCAAAGTGCCATACAGCAACCAAGTCTCCAAGTCTCAACAGGTCCTGAGGATGCCACGTGCCAGTCTTCCTTCCCATCTGCAGCCACAGCCCTCTTGGGATCATTTAAAATCAGTACATGGAGAATGCATCAGCTGGGCTGCTCTAGTTAACGCGCTACAGAAATGACAACTGTTGGAGACAGGGCATTCCTGGGGCTCACTGGCCAGTCAACTCAACCTACTTGGTCTCTCCAAATCCAAGGTAAATGGCTCCTGGGAACAATGCTGAGGTTCTCCTCTGACCTCTCTACGCATGTGCACATATGCACACCTGCATATACACATGCCATCCACATGGACACAAAAATGCCAGCTCAGCAAAATCTATGGCCCTGTGTTATCACAGAGCAGGGGCTGCCAAGGCTAGGATACACATTTCTTCCAAGGCTGAGAGAATTGCCAAGGTGGCCTTACCCTATTACAACCACATTTTTTGCTTCTAAGCATTTTTTTCTAAGTGTTCAACGCCACCTCAATTCAGCAATATTACTTATGGGGACTCCATTGTGTGTACACGTGTGTGTGTGTGTGTGTGTGTGTGTGTGTGTGTGTGTGTGTGTGTTGAGTGGTTCCATCATTCCAGTCATGTCTTTCAGAGAAATACTTTGTAACTACAAATGCCATTTTTTTTCTTGATCTCAGTGGCCAACAAGCAGCAATTCCTGGAAACACTGCTCTTTCTGGAAGACATAGGTTTGGTGGATTACTTTGTACAGCATGGCCTGAAGGCAGAGAGAAGAAATGGGAATAAATAAATGGTTTCTGGGCTCCTTCCAGCATTACAGTTCTATGAATTTTACCTAATTAAATCAATTAAAATGGGTAACAGATTTAAAGACTTGGGGAAATTATCTTTTTCCCTATTGTAGCATTTGGAAGAATCCAATATTCTTGAATTGGTGGATTTTTTTTTCAATCACTTCTCAACAAGACCGTGAGCTATTCAAGGACAGAGAAGCTGCTGTACTCATCCTCTGTCCCCACAGCTGGCAGGAGGCATGGCCCGTGACACATCAGAGTGTGGAGAACAAGGACACGCATGAGCAGATGAGCGTGGACTTGCAGTCCGGGAAGAACGTCCTTGGGTGACACAGAATGCTCAGTGGGGATAATTCAGTGTCTGAGATTGTGTGCTTTGTGGCTCCTGAATGTCCATCCAAAGCAAGGCCTTCAACACCACCACCCGCTCCCACATCCTCTGGCCAAAGTTCCACATATATACATATTTGCGAGCATGTACACATTTGTATATATTGCATGCATTTGTATGTACATGCATGTAGAGGCCAGAGGACAAACTTGGATGTCATTCCACAGGTGCTATCTATCTGATTTTTTTCTAGCATTTATTTGTAATGGGTTAGTGGATAGGCACATACAGGCCATAGTGCATGTGTGGAGTTCAGGGGACAACTTGCAGTGTTCACTTCTCTTCTCCTGCCATGTGGGTCACAGGGATGGAGCACAAGTCATGAGGCTGGAGAGCAAACACCTCTACTCCTTAGTCAATTTGCCAGACTCTTGTTCTACTTTTTTTTTTTTTTGGACAAGGACTCTCACTGACCCGAGACCTGTCAAGTAGGGAAATCATGCTGGTCAGTGAACCCCAGGAATCTACCGTGTCTGCCTCCCCAGTGATATGGTTACAAGGATGCACTATTATCATATCCAAATTTTCTTCTGCTGAACTCAGCTCTTTATGCTTTTAAGGAAAGATCTTTAATAACTGAGATATCACTTCAACCCACAAAAAAAATAGCATGCACTTTATTGGTAGGAGCAGGAACATAGGAAACTTATATGCCCCATAGGCTGTCTCAGAGCTTCATTCAGTAACCGGAAAAGACAAGGACATATAGAGCCAAGCAGATGACAAAGAAGTCTAAAAGTAACTGCAGTGTTCAGCCCCGCATCATCGGCGCCTCCTGAGATGGGACCTAAGTGTTGCGAACTGAACTACCAAGGAACTGCACCAATTCCCACTGAGGACACCGACACCAGAGCCACCCTGGGACTGCAGAGGGCAACTTGGCGTCTTCCTGCACCGCATGTGTGAGGAGTGGGGAGTGTGCCTGACATGATGTCAAGGAGAGCACACGTGGGAACGCACTGGGGTCGTGGGAACGCACTGGAGTCTTGGATGGTTGTTCTCCAGCTGGGAACAAACCACTTACGTCACCTCCTCTAAAGTTCAAGGGTCACTGCAGAATAGGGACAGAGGAGAGGAAGTACACAAGAGCCAGAAGACAGGGGAAGGGCTGCAAAACGTGATTCTCTCTCCTTAGTACAGTCCTGGAAATCAGTGATTTGTGATGGCAGTTACAACAGCTGTGGTTACCTGCACTGCACCCAAACAAGATTGACCCTATCAACAACGAGTCACGGAAAGGAGAAGCGTTCGTTGAGACCTATTGGTTCTGGGAGAGCAAAACCACTGTCTTTAGCTGTGTACCCAATATTGAGGCAATCAGAGTCTAAACCTGTGATTGCCAAGATGACCCTAGTCAACCTCAGTGGGTCACAGAACAAAACAAACATGAGGGCAAGGTTTGTGGGATGTGGGAAAGGTGGACAGGGATGGTATGGAGGTGGGGTGACAGTGGGTAGCATGTATGGCAGACATGTGTGAAATTGTTAAATAAATAAGTCTTTGAGAAAACTAACATATGCACACATTTTTGAATAGCTAACACAGATGGAGAGATGGGGACCAACATGCTAGATGGGTTGGAATTTGGGGTTCTGAAGGTTCCTTCCTCCATGTGCAGTGGGCTGTAGCATCACCAAGCTGTCTGTGAGATGCTCCATGCACAGAGGAGAGCTGTAGACTGATGTGGTCTTGTCTGGTACTCACTAGATAGAAGAGGGTGTGCCTGAGGTGTAATATTCATGGAGAAAGACAATCCCACAGACAGCAGCTCACTAGCCCCGAGCCAGTGCAGCACTGGCCGCCTGTGAAAAGGTACATTCAGAACACTGGCCCTGCCAAACCTCTCTCCCATCTTAAACACTTCTGTCTGGTCTTCAGTTTTTTGTTAGGATCTTAAAAGTGCCCCAAAGCTTGTGTGTTGAAAGTTTATTGCCAAATACAGTAGTGCTCAGAGTCAGGACCCTCAGGAGACAACTGAACTCACAGGGCTCTGACATCATGGGTGGATTTATCC